CGACTCCAGAAAAATATACACTAAACTAATCAGAAGAGACCTGAAACTGGGGAAAAGAAAGAGAAAGAAAGAAAGAAGAAAAAAAAAAAAAAAGAATATGCTCAAATATGTTCAGGCTGGTGAATACATCAGTGCCACACACTAGATTTTGGGTGTATTTTGGTCTGTTAGAAGAAACTGCCTCCCAAAATTTTAAAGAATGAAAAACTTATATATGTACAAAAAGAAGGGTAAATACGATGAAGGGATGGAATATGACTGTAAAGATGAAAATTATAAAAGATTTTATAAAAGGAATTGATAAGAAGTTGGTTGAAAAAAGAAAGATGAGAAATTAAAAAAAAGGGGGGAGAGAATGTGATCAGGCAGGAGACTAGAACAAAGCCATACACTAGAGATTTAGAGTATATTTGGGTCTGTTAGAAGAAACTGTATCCCAAAATTTTAAGAGAGAACAACTTATATATATATATATATACACACCAAAAATAAGGTTAACTACAGTGAAGGGATAGAATATGACTCTAAAAATGAAAAAAATAAAAAAAGACTTTTAAAAAAGGGATTGATAAGATGTTGGTTGAAAAAGGGAAAAAGAAAAATAAAAAAAATAGAAAAAGGAAAATTAAAAAAAATTAACTTTGAAAGACTAAAGAAACATGGGGAAAAAAGCCATGGATTCTATGAGCAGTATTCCCCTAGTGCTGGGGTTCTGCCGTTCTCATTGATCACTAAACTTGGTCTTGGCTGGCTGTTCTTGCTAATCTTCTGGGAGAGGGGCCTGTTGCCATGGTTCCCAAATATCTTTGCTGGAGGCGGAATTGCCCTACCCTTGCTGGAGTCTGGGCTAAGTAATCTGCTCGGGTTTGCTCTCCGGGGCTTTTGTTCCCTGCGAGCTTTCCGTACAGCTTTGGAGGCCGAGAGTGAAAATGGCGGCATCCCAATCCCCGCCCCGGAGGAGCCGAGAACTCGGGGCCCCACTCCTCAGTGGGGCCCCACTCCTCAGTGTGCCCCCAGAGAAAAGCAGTCAATCACTCCCATCTCCCTGGTCTCCGGCTGCACTCTGTGCTCACCTGGACTGTGACCGAGCGTTTCTATCTCTGGCACCCGACCCCAGGTGGAGTCTCCAAACCCAGCAAATCCCTGCAGTGCACTCCCCGCCGCTCCTCCCGGGGGAGGAAGGGGAGTCTCCCTGGATCTGCCGCTTGTTGGGTCCCTGCTGGAGGAGCAGTGGCCCGACCGTGCCGCGGGTCACGGTTTATGGCAACCCCGAGCTGAGAACCCGCTCCTCGGCTTCGTCTCTGCAGCCGGCTTCCCCGCTCTGATACCTGGGAGCTCTGCCGCACTCAGGCACCCCCGGTCTTTCTGTGACCCCGAGGGTCCTGAGACCACACTGTCCTGCAAGGGTTCCACCCCCCGCTTAGCCACTGGAGCGACGTCCCTTAGCAGAGCCGACTTCTAAAAGTTCCGATTTTGTGCTCTGCGGCTCTATCACTTGCCAGAAGCCGCCAACGGAGGCCCCCTCCCCCGCCATCTATCCTCCCGAATATCGCCTCGGATTCACTTCTCTGCACGTCCTACCTTCCAGTAAGTGGTCACTTTTCTGTTCAAAGAGTGGCTGCTATTCTTTTCTTCGATCTCCAGTTGCGTTCATAGGTGTTCAGAATGGTTTGATCCCTATCTAGCTGAATTCCTGGAACCAGATGAAATTTAGGTCTCCTACTCCTCCACCATCTTGCTCCTCCCCCTCAAAAAAAATATTAATTTTTATTATAATTTGCATGTACAAGATTACTAATGAGGTAGAATATCATTTTATACATATTTATCATTTCTAGGAATTACTTTATACCTATCATTTATTCATAGTTATGCTATATCAAAGATTTTACCTTTGTGTCTATTGTATATGCTGTAAATACTTTCTCTGGGTCACTTACTAGATTTTGGATAAAATTCTTATGAAGATCCACTGGGTAATGTAATCTAATTTCTTTACAGTTGTTGATCCATGTGTCATTTGCACAGTACTCCTCTGTCAACAAGAATTAGCCAGAGCCCTCCTGTCCCCAATGGTGCTGTATAACAAGTATTTCACACCACTTCAGTCCCAAAGGGAATCAGATCCTATATGTAAAGCAAGGAGTTCCTCATGATGCTGAATATTTAATGAAATTGTGCTCTAGGTTGGACTGATATGATATGCATGTGCTGCTTCCTTCCTGGTGAACTCTTTAGTGTTCTGAAAAGCATGATAGTGATTCTGACGTGCCCTTCATGGTTTAACAACTTCTTTCAAGAGAAACTGCACACCTGCAAATTGTGCTTGCATTTGATCTGGCATGATCAGGACCCTCGTTATTCTGTAGCAGGTAGATTTTCTTAAGGGTAATGTATAAAGTTGAAGCTTTCCATTTTAATTTTGTTTCAGAATACTCAGTCATAGGATATTTATTATATTTGCAAGTTCATTTTCCTTTTGTTCATTTGATTTGAGTGTCAGATGTAGAAATTTAGCCAATTCACATCACCTTTAAGGGAACATATTAACTCATTACTAGCTGTGGAAGAGTACTTCCACCTGCTTCCATCCTGCATTACCAAGGAGAGTTTTACTATAGAAGTATATATATTATATAATATAATAAATATATTGTTATAACTCCTTTTACTAAAGAATTTCCTAGAACTCCTCAGAACTAGAAAAGAAGAAAACACTTGTGTAGAAAAGCAATTCAAGTGCTTGTAAACCTCAGGAGCATAATTTATTTAGGACACACAAATACACTAATCTTGTATTGATATTGTTCATCATACCAAGTTCAAATCATCTGTCTGCATTTTAAGACTAGCATTGGGCTCTACCAATCAATCTTTATCTACTTCCTTTTGTTTTTGAAATTAAGTATAATTAACATATAATAAAATTTACCATATTAAGATATACAGTTTGATTAGTTTTTATAACACTCTGTAATTGGGAACCATTACCACAATCAGGATATATATGGAATATTTTTATCACCCCAAAATGTTTCTTTTTGGCCCTGCCTAGTTAAAAGCACCCACAGGGCCCCAGGTAAGTACAATGTTTCCTGTTCATATAATTTTGGCTCTTCTAGAACTTCATAAAAATTGAGTCAATAGTAAATAATAATTTATATCCAATATCTTGTACTTAATATAATGTTTTGTGATTCATCTAGGTTGTCACATGTATAAATATTACTGAGTAGTGTTCAATTACATGTATGTACCACAGTTTCTTAATTTACCAGTAGGGGTGTGTGTGTGTGTGTGTGTGTATGTTGTTCCCAATTTTTGGTCATTGGGAAACAAACTGCTGTAAACATTCTAGTAAAACTATTTGTGTGAGCATATGTATTTATTTATCTGTTTAAATACCTACTGGTAAATCTGCTGAGTCATATGGTAAAAGTATGTTTAAATAGTTGAGAACTGCCAAATTATTTTCCAAAGTTATTGTATAATTTGCAATTCTATCAGCAAAATATGATAATTTTAGCTGCTGTATCTTCCCTAGCACCTGCTATTGTTAGTCTTTTTAATTTTACCTACTTTGGTGGGTGTGTAGTGAAATCTCATTGTGTTATTAAATTTGCATTTCCCTAGTGACTAATGACTTTAAGCAAGTTTTTTTCATGTGCTTATTTGTCACTCATATATCTTTGGTGGTGTTTTAAAAATCTTTTACCCATTTTTAAAAATTGAATTTTTTGGATTTTTATTATTGACTTGAAAAAGTTCTTTATATATTTTGTATGCAATCTGATGTGAGGTACATGTTTTGAAGTATTTTTTTTTTTCTAATCCATGACTGGTGTTTTATTTTCTTAAAGTGTCTTTTGAAGAGCAAAGGTTTTTAATTTTGATAAATTCCAATTTATCACTTTTTGTGGCTTGTGCCTTTTGTGTATTCTGTAAGAAATCTTTGTCTACCAAGATTACAAAGATTCTCTCCTTTGTGTTTTTTAGAATGTTATATTTTTAGTTCTTACATTTAGGCCTATAATCCATTTCAGGCTAATGTCTGTATAATATGTGAAATAAGAGCCAAGGTTTATCATTTTGCAAATCCAATCATCTCAGAATTATTTTCCCCACAGAATTACTCTGGTACCTTTGTTAAAAATTTTTTGACACGTGTCACTCCATTTCTGGACTTTCTGGTCTCTTCTAGGGATTATATACATATAATCACACTAGTATAACACTCTCTTGATTATGTTACTTTATTTATTTATTTATTTATTTATTTGAGAGAGAGTAAGAAACAGCATGAGAGGGGAGAGGGTCAGAGGGAGAAGCAGGCTCCCCACTGAGCTGGGAGCCCAACACGGGACTTGATCTTAGGACTCTGGGATAATGACCTGAGCTGAAGGCAGTCGCTTAACCAACTGAGTCACCCAGGCACCCGATTATGTTAGCTTTATAGAAATTTTTGCAATCAGGTTGTGTAAGTCTTCCAACTTTGTTGTTTTTCAGAATTATTTTGGCTACTCTAGGTTCTTTGCATTTCTATATAATTATTAGAATCCACATATCAATTTCCACACAAAAAAAGAAAAAAAAATAAAAAACCCAAGAACTCTAGACCAATTAAGGAAGAATCAACGTCTAAAAATATTGAGCCATCTGATCTAGGATCATGGTATATGTCTCCATTTTTTTTTTTTTTTAAGATTTTATTTATTTATTTGAGAGAGAGAGAATGAGAGACAGAGAGCATGAGAGGGAGGAGGGTCAGAGGGAGAAGCAGACTCCCTGCCGAGCAGGGAGCCTGATGCGGGACTCGATCCCAGGACTCCAGGATCATGACCTGAGCCGAAGGCAGTCGCTTAACCAACTGAGCCACCCAGGCACCCTGTGTCTCCATTTTTTTTGTAGTCTTTAATTTCTCTCAACAATGTTTTTTAGTTTTCAGTGCATGGTTTTGCATATTATTGTTAAATTCAACAAAATTTTGTTACATTTTTCAGACGTAAGTAAAGGAATTTGAGATGGGAGAGTGTCCTGGATTATCCGGTGGGCCTAGTGTATTCACGAGGATCCTTTTAAGAGGGAAAGAAGAGCATGAGAGTCAAAGGAGATGTGACAAACAGGAGCAATGGTAAGATTGGGGCCATGAGTGAAGAAATGCCTTATGTACTGTTACACATATCTTTTAATTTCTCATGAACGGTTATATTTCTTAGTTCTAAAAGTTACATTTGAAGATTTTTTGAGGGTTTAAGCTTTATAATTTCAATCTCATTATCAATTTTCTTTACCTATGATATTGGTTTGTTGAATAATATTTATTTTTTTTAAAGATTTTATTTACTTATTTTGAGAGAGAGAGAGAGAAAGAGAGACATTGTGAGTGGGGGAAGGGGTAGAGAGAGAGGGAGAGAGAAAATCCCGAGCAGGCTCCACAATCAGGGCTCAGCAAAAGTCTGACATGGGGCTCAATCCCACTACTCTGAGATCATGACCTGAGCCAAAATCAAGAGTTGGACACTTAACTGACTGAGCCATTCAGGCGCCCCAGAATAATATTTATCTTAAAGTCTGTATTTGATAACATCAGAACCTAGGTCACCTATGGATCCATTTTATTATCTGTATTATTTTCCATGGGTCCTTTGTTTTTATGCACAGAGAGTTTTGATTGAATGTAAGACATTGTGTAAAAATGTTATAGTTTCTGGTGGACATTATCTTTCTCTGGTGACCATTCTCTTTGTTTTCTGGTAGATAGCTATGATAGAGCAGATCATCTTTAATCACAGTCTGAGCTTGTTAAAGGCTGGGTTGCCATTGACATCAGGCTAGAATAGGTCATCTTAGTCCTTAGATACAGATCTCCAGAGGTACCAATTTTGAGCCTGGATTGTTTGCCAGGATCATTTCCCCCCAACATCATTCTAGTGTTTATCTTTTCAGCACTTCATGACTTGAACATTCTGCTCTGTTACCCAGCTATTTTTCTGCTTGGTTTCTTAGTCTCTTACTCTGTCCACCCTAAGGACTTAGCAGATGCTTCAAGAGTCTAATCTAGTGGTTCTCAATTAGGGCGATTTTGCTCCTCAGGGGACAATGGACAATATTTAAAGATATTTTTGGTTTTCACAACTCTGAGGGCAGGGGGCAGATTGCTACTGACACCTAGTGGGTAGAGGCTAAGGATGCTGCTAAACATTCTACAGTGTTCTATAGGACAGCCCCCCACGATAGAGAATTATATGGCCTGACATGTCAATAGTGGAGGATGAGGAGCCTGGGTCTAAACCACTGAGTATCAAGTTTACTTCCTTCTACCTCTCTTCTCTCATAGACTTATTTCCTCCAGACTTGACTGTCTTGGCAGCTGCAAAACTCCATATTTAAAAGAAAAAATCTTCAGCCTCACAAGATATTAAATATCTTTGCTAGTTTTCTGTCTTGTAGCAGTGAGGCTCTGCCAAGCATCTCAGCTTCACCTCCTGTGCCAAGAATAGGCAAATCCCTAAGGGTAAACATGGCTTACAGAAAATTGTGCTCACTTCAATGTGCCTTCTTTTCTTTGTGATCAGGCTTCTCAAATCCAAGTTTGTGTCTGTTTTTTCCCAATTGTTCTTGACCAGAGCACTGGCCTCTACAAGCTACCCTTTCATAGCTAGAGGCCACAGTATTCCTAGATGATGAGAAAGCAAGAAGGGATAGACAGAAGTTCAGCTCAGAGAGGTAACTGAAGAAAAGTATTCCTTATTAGATGGGAGATAGGAAGTAGGCTCAGTGTCTTCATCACAGCCAGTAAAAGAAAGCTGAGAAAATCTTTTGCAGAAGATCTGCTTGATCCATGGCTTTAAAGGAAAATGTGGGTTAGAGAGGTAGGAGGGAAAAAGAAAGAACCTCATGACAAGGAAAGCAGTAAAGCCATCAGCTGAATCTGTAATACTCTCAAGAATCACTGTGTGGCAAAGTCCTGGCATCCCATTTAAAACCTAGTTCTGGGGTCTGGCATGAGGCTGAGTCTGACATTTTACACCAAGAAGACTGAGTACAGAGGGAGAGGGTCCCTGCACCTCAAATGAGGCTGAAATACATCTCTTCACCACATGAAGAAATCAAATATTCAGAAGGAAAGAAAGCTAACAAAACTAGTAATTCTAATATCAGTTCATTCCTGTGAAATAGACTTTGTTATTTAAAACAAGTACCTTTAGAAGATCAAAAGATATATAATTGGAAACTACCTATTGAAAAGGAGAAATTATGACAAAAGCCAATTTTAAAAATGTAAAAGGATCAGATTAAAATCTTGGAATTTATAAGTATTGGAATTAAAGAATTTAATAGATTAGATGAAACATGGAATGGAGCCAAAGGAAAAACAGTTATTTGAAGATGATACAGAAGAAATCACCCAGAATCCAGTAGTGACGGGAAAAACAGTAAAAACTGGAAAATCATTATGAGAGTGGGTGAGATTGATAAGCTCCACCATAGGTATGATAGAAATTCTGGAATAAAAGAGGGATGGAGTGGTGGAGAATTAATATAGGAAGACATAACAGGTGAGATTTCTCAGAAATTAGGAAACTCTGAGTCCTTAGGGAATACACAACAAAAAATAGACAACAAATGCCATGCAAGAAAACTAAAAACAAATCCACAACTTAACACAGAGAAGTGAGATTGTGAAACATTAAAGAGAAAGAAAAAAATCTTAAAAACTAGTCTCTAGAGAGAAAAGACGAGTTATCTGCGTGTGAAGTGTCTTTTGACTGAAAGCAGACAGATCACGCAGAAGAAAGTCCAAAAGACAATAGAATCATATATTCAAAATCCTGAGGGAGCTTCACTGTTAACCTAGACTTTTATACTCAGCTAAATCTTCATTCCCATGTGAGGGTAAGGAAAAGGCATTATTCAGTCATACAAAGACTGTTGACCAGTTATAGAATGATACCAGAGGATTTATTACAATATGCAGTGCAGGTAGTGGAGATAGGAACTCAGAGCATGGACAAGAGGATAAAAGTGAGCAAAGAAAAAATAAAAATCTATCTGTCAATTAAAAAGCATTTTTGGTGTTTAAAAAGGTAAAATTAAACATACAGCAATAACCTAATGGTGGGGCTATGATTTTTTTAAGGCATGCTAAGATTTTTGACAAGTTTTGCATAAGAGGAAATATTGAATAACTTTAGACTGTCTTAGATAAATGTGGAGCTAAATTTGGGTAAAGTATTTGAATATTAGGAACATAATTTATAGCTTCAAATCAGTGGACAAAAATAGATGATAAAAATATTTGCCCATCAGAAATCAGGAAAAAGAAAAAAGAAAACAAAGAAATGGTAAACAACTCAATTTTAAAAGTCCCTATCATATATAAATTACTTCAGAAAATTAAAAAAGAGAGAAAATCATCTAACTTATTCTATAAGACTTTTATAACTTTTATACCTAAATAAGAAAAGGCTAGAATAAGACAAAACATGGACCAATTACACTTTTGGTTACAAGTCCAAAGATCTGAAATGAATGCCAAGGAATAGAATTCAGTGGTGTTCCAGACAGTAACAGATTATGACAAAATAGATTTTATCAATAATATGAGGCTGCCTTCATATTAGGAACTATATTAATAGCAAAAAAAAAAAAAAAAAATCAGAAACTTGCCAATATCATTTGTTGGCAAGCCAGCACAATTTCTTGTGATAAAACGACCCTTATGATATGACTAGAATAATTACTACAAATAATTCTTTTTTTAATGAAAAAGCACAGTACACAGTCAAAAGTCACCAAGCATCAAAGAAAGAAACCACCATGAGACTTTATCCTAGGCATGCAAAATTATTTTAATATTAGAAAATCAGTCCATGTAATTCATTACCATTCAAATTAAAGACAAAAATCATATTGACTCACAGGAAGTGTATCATCAACTTTACATACAATCTTAAAAATAACTTAGGAAATTAGGAATAGAATGTATTGTTAAAATTTACAATAGATTCTACTGTTAGATTGTTAGTTTTCAGACAATCTACAAGAAACATAATGCTTAATGATGAAGTGTTGGACATTTCTCCCTGAGATTGGGATCATAGTACAGTATGTCACCAGCGTTTCTCACTGGTATTAGGGTGGCATCCTTCTACAGTTCTCCCTAAGAAAAATTTAAAATGTTGGTGGGATTGTGACAGTTCTCTGCTCAAATCCCTATAGTGGCTCTCCGTTTCAGAGTGGGGTAGAGGTCCCTGTAGGATCTGGCTCCCTTACCTCCTCTCTGCGTTCTTGCCCTAGTCATGTTTCAACCCCACTGGCATCCCTGGCATTTCCTAAGCATTCCAGGCACACTCCTGCTTCCCGGTCTCTGCCTGCACTGTTTCCTCTGCCTGGAAAGCTTGTATCCCATCTTTCAGGTTTTCCCCACTTGTCACCTTCTCTAAAGGGTCACCCTGACTCCCCTATGTGATACTGCAGCCCCCACTCTGAGGTCCCCCTTCTCTGATCTTTGTGTTTCTGTCCCCCAGTACTTACCACCATAGAATGTACTATATAATTTTTGTCAAATGTATTATGTATTGTTTGTCTGTCCCTGCTATAACCTAAGTTTCACTGGGGCTGGGATCACGTCTGTTTTTTTTCCAGAGGCCTAGGAATAGTACATCACATTTAATAGACAGCCAAGCAATATGTGTTAAATGATCCAATGGGGAAATTTTGTGGGAAAGCTACATATGTTTAGAAGTGCATTTTGGAAAAAAAAAAAATACAAACAGAGTCACCTTGGGTCTTTTGAATTAATTATCTGTATTCTAAAGTGAGCACTTTTCAATATATACATTAGTAGTCTCTATTTTATTCATTTTAAATATATTTTTCCCCTAGCAGGACTTCAAGATGCTTGTAAGAATTACTGTATCTGAGACTACTTGTATATGTTCCAAAGTGGTATGAGAGGCTGCTTTCTTAATGCTTTTTCAACTGGAAGGCCAATCAGTCAATATTTAGTTGACTTTAAATACTAAGCACATAGTTTTATAGGGCAAAAGCCACCAGATTACTTACTCTATTAAATGGATACTTTCAAGATACATACATACATACAAACATATATAAACACACATATTCATATCTATATAATGTGTGTATAATGTGTGTATATATGTGTGTGTATACGTATATATGCGCATTCAAGG